CAAGCACAAAAATTTGTAAGTCTACAACTGTACCTCATGGTGTCTCACTAATAAAATTTTTTTAAAATATTGCAAATTGAAATGACCATTTAATTTGGGAAAGTCTAAAGTGTTCAAAGGGCACTTTTTAGTCCTCAATAGAACCAGGATAAGCCCATAGTACTGAGGTGTGGCCCAAACCCCTCCATGGCCCAAAATTCTCACCTGTGGGATTTGAAGAGATTCCTCAGAGAAAGAGGTACTTGTGGAGTAGACTTGGAAGCATCATGCCCTGTCTCTCAAACCTTATTCTGTGTGTCTCTAACTTCTGGATGTTCCTGAGTTATTGTCTTACTACGATAAACTGGTGAACCAATAAGTAAACTATTATACTGAGTTCTGTGCTCCAACAAATTGATTGTGGCTGGGTGGGTAGGGGGTAATGGCTACACATATTATGGTGTAATTAGTGGGTAGCATTAGTTTCAGGTCTACTGCATAATTTAATTATTTGTATATATTTCATTTGTATACAGTTCAAAATGATCACCAGAAATAACCATTTAAAAAGATTGCAAATTACCACAACACCCAATAGGAGAGAGAGAACAAAAGGGAATGCCTGCCACAGAGGCAGGGTGGGGTGGGGGGATGGAGGGTGGGAGGGATACTGGGATCCGTGGTGGTGGGAAATGGGCACTGGTGGAGGGATGGGTATTTGATCATTGTATAATCGAAACCCAAGCACAAAAATTTGTGAGTCTACAACTGTACCTCATGGTGTCTCACTAATAAAAATTTTTTTAAAATATTGCAAATTGAAATGACCATTTAATTTGGGAACGTCTAAAGTGTTCAAAGGGCACTTTTTAGTCCTCAACTTTCAAACTGTAGTTGTAAGTACAAACTGTTAATGCATCATAGAGTTAATTTAGTGTTCAGCCCAGCAGTATAAAAAAAAATACAAAGAATAGAAAATACTATAAGGGCATCACAGCTGAAAAACCCTTTAGTTACTATCTACATTGAACTCTTCTAGGAAGTTTGCTGTTGGGATGGAATGCGGGCTTTCAGGGGCCCACGACAACCAGCCTTTCTTTGACCCACTTAATTTGGGGAAGGAATGATTCTCAGTTCACTGAGCCCTTTGTTCAAGCCTCTTTCTGAAAGAAGACAGTTTAATGTCGATCCTCTTCTCCTTTACAGAGACTTTTCAATTGCTCTTTGATTAAGCACAGTGTTGTTTAAAGCTAACTATTTTTCCCCAAAACTTATCACATGTACAAACTTTAGGAAATTTGAGATCACATAAAATTATATGATTTATTATCTCATGATAATGTACAGTCTTCATAGAAAAGTTGTGAAGTACTGAAAAGAACAAAGGAAAATATTTAAATTGCTGGTCCTTCTGCCACCCAGTGAAACAGTATTATGTCTATTATTTTCTCTTTGCCTCCATTGTCCACAGAAAAGTGGGGGACTATTAGTTCTGTTTTTTGAGGAAGGGACTACACCGGTAAGACCACACAGTGCCAGGGAATAAACTTGAGACTCCGGCATGCAGAGTATGTGCTCCAGTACTATCGGCAGTTTTAGTGATTTTCTATTCTTGAGCCACAGTGCTCAGGAGTTTCTCCTGAGTTCACCCCCAGGGGTCCCTGGGGAACTCGGTGGAGCTAGGGAAACAATGGCGCTGAGGACAGAACCCAGGCCTCCTGCATGCAAAACTCATGCTCAGTCTATTGGTCCCCTACTAATACCTTTTTTTTACTGGTGAGAGGGGCACACCTGACAGTGCTCAAGGGTTTCTCTGAGCTCCATGCTTGGTGCTCACTCCTGGTGGTGCTCAGAAGACCACGTGGTGGCAGAGATCAAGCCTGGGCCTCCTGCGTGGTAAGCATGTGCCCAACCCATCGAGTTTTCTATCTCTTGGGCCCGTTCCTACTGGAACACTCAAAATGTTGGAAACTGCCATTATTTCCAAAATGTTTTCGACACGCCAGAGACTCTTCCTCCAAAAGGAGCAAGTTCCCATTTCTTTACCCCAGTCCACATTACCACATAGTTATTCTGATAGAAAGGGAAGCAGAGACTGGCCAAGGAAACTGACCACTCCTGCACCACTGTGCAAGCCTGGATAGACCCTGATGCTGACCTGGCATTCCAGACCCAGAATTTTCTCCTGAATCTGTGTATCTTTTTACGTCCAAAGTTTCTGGTTATGTGTTCCTGTAAGCCTTCCCCAAAATGGAAAGAGATGCTTTTCTCATGAAATATTTGGGGTTTTGGGGGTTTATTTTGTTTTGTGTTTATTTGGTGGTTTTTTTTTTTTCCACACTGGCCAGTATTCAGAGCTTCCTCCTTGCTCTCTGTTCAGGGATCACTCCTAGTGAGCTAGTGAGCTTGGGGGACCATATGGAGTGCCCGAGGATCGAACCCAGGTCTGCCACATGCAAGGCAAACACACCATCCACAGTACTATTGCTCCAGCCCAAATCTTTGTAGTTTTTTTTAATATCCAAGGTCAAGAAGCCAACTTTCTGCAAAAGACCTCCACCACAGGTTAGTGCTGCCAGAAAGATCTCGCCTCCTAAAAGTATTTGCTCCAGTCGCCGAGCGTCTCTCCAACCCGAATCCCTCGCCCTTCCGAAGGGAAAACGGCGGGAGATTCACAAGAGCCTGAACTGGAACAGGGGATTTTGCAAATTCTTATTCCAGGTTAGTTTCCCCAAGTTGGAAAGGTGTGAATAGCGCCACCTACTGACCCTTTGGGAAACAGTCCCGCCCGCACAGTTGGAGCTTCGGGCATCAGGGCTTGCTTGGCAGCTCACTGCCTACTTCCTGTTCAATCCTCTATCCTCCAGCTTTCTGAGGGACTGCTGCTTCTCTGCTGGTTGAAAACTCAGATTCAAGGGCTCTCTAAACCTTGACAGGGCTCTCTAAAGCCAGACCTGGCTGTGCTAACACAGAGCTCCCTAAGGAGAACAAGATGTCAGTCCTACCATTTACTGAGGATGTGATTTTTTTGGTTTAGTTTTGGGCCCACACCCAATGATGCTCAGGGCTTACTCCTGGCTCTGCATTCAAGGTTCGCTCCTGGCAGCACTCAGGGGACCCTACAGGGTGCTGGGGATTGAACCCTGTTGGCCGTGTGCAAGGCAAGAGCCCATATCCACCGCATTATCACTCAGGCCCATATTTTGAACAATTTGCCTCAGTTCCCTCCCCTGAAAAGTGGAGAATTGGATTCCTCACTTCACATTGTTAGCACAGCGGGTAGGGCGTTTGCCTTGCACACAGCCAACATGGCCGACCCAAGTTCGATTCCTCCGCCCCTCTCGGAGAGCCCGGCAAGCTACCGAGAGTATTCGATATGCCAGACACAGTAACAACAAAGTCTCCAATGGAGACGTTACTGGGCCCGCTCGAGCAAATCGATGATCAACGGGAGGGCCTTTACCTTTACCTTTACTTCACATTGTTGGAAGGATTAATATAAGTGATGCATAAAACCACATCTGACATACAGTAGCAATTGATCTTTTCATTCCCAGCAGTCATCTTCCTTATTCATGTATGTTTGTGTGTGTGCTTTGAACCCCATCTGATGGTTAAGAACCATACCAAGAATGCCCAGGGGACCGTGTAATGCTGAGGATTAAACCTGATAATTTGATCAAACCTTTAGGTTTTCTCCTTGTCCGCCCCCCTGTTTTTGGAGTGCTGATGGGGGAGGGGTTACAGGGAGGCAATTTAGGCCATACCTGCCAGTGGCTTACTCCTGGCTCTGTGCTCAGGAATTACTCCAAGTAAGTCTTGAGAGACCATACATGGTGCCAAGGATTGAATTCAGGTCAGTCTCATGCAAGGAAAGTACACTACTCATTGTACTTTTTGGTCCCTTATTTAAAAAAAATTTTTTTTGTGCCATTCCCAGCTGTGATCAGGGCTTACTTCTGACCCTCTGCTCAGGTATCACTCCTGGCAGATCTTGGGGGACTAGATGGGATGCAGGAAACTGAATCTGGATCTGCTGCATGCGAAGTAAGCGACTTACCCATTGTACTATCTCTCCCGCCCTGTTTCATCATAATCAACTGCTGCTTATGCCAGGGGGCAGAGAAAAAGCAATTAAAAGCCAATCCAGGGGCCAAGAGGTAATACAGTGTGGAGGGTGTTTGTCTTGCATGCAGCTGACCTGGGTTCAATCCCTGACATCCCATATGGACCCCCAAGCAAGACAAGGAGTGATTCCTGAGCACAGAGCCGAAGTGAGCCCTGAGTGTGACCTAAAAACAAACAAACAACAACAAAAAGACAAACCACTGGTCTTGGCATCCTATTTATTCTTCTGTTATTAATCTCAGGGAAAAGAGAATAGTCTCCCTTCTTTCCCTCCTGATCCTTAAGCTAACACTCTTAAAAACATCATAGTTGGGCCAGAGATATAGTACAGTGGGTAGAGTGTTTGTCCTGCACATGGTTGAACCATGTTCAACCCTATATGGTTTGCAGAACCCTAGGAGTGTCCCAACTGCAGATACTGCCAGGTGTGGCCCAAACCTCCCATGTAAATCAATGATAAAAGAACATCTAAGCTAGTAGAAGGCTCAAAAAGTTGGAAATGATTGCCTTGTACATGGAGCCCTTCCACCTCTCAATTAAAAAAACAAAAACTGGGGGACCCTGACTGTTTTCAGGAACTTCCTGGGCCACTTCTAACCACTAGATGGCCGAACTACAGGGTGATGATTTCCTTAGGCAAGCAAACACTTAGCCCTCTAATATGGTATTTCCTGGGGCTGGAAATCCAACAAGAGTCCCGTGGGGAAAAGTTCTGCCAAAACACTCATTCCGAGGAAAGGATCGGTAAACTGACAAATATGCCCAGCCTTGTTCATCCTGTTATCTTACACGAAGGCCCTGGCTGCCGGCCTCGCCTCGTTCCTCTTCCCCAGTTCCTGAGCCAAGAAGATCCACACGAGTGGCCCTAGGGTGAGAAAACCAGACGGAAGTAAACTTGCACCTTACGGAGCACTTGGGCTGTTTATTGGCATTAGGGAGCAGTTCCCTTGGAGGAGGGAGGGGACACAACACTGACATCTCACATCACCTCTACAGTTTAATAAGAGCCAAGAGAGGATCAGAGCCAACCACACCGTCCCGTTACAAAACAACAGATGAGCAGCTGGAGTGGGCGTGGGAGCGCCAGAATTCCGTGTTTGCACACGGGTGTCTCGGGGTCCCCCAGGCAGCACCACCCGCTTCCACGCTCCCTCTGGACAGTCCCACAATAATCAGCAGCAGCCCGGGGTCTACGCAGCCGGCCCGCAGGGGAAGAGCAAAGTTCTCGCGACGCGAGGCCCGGCAGGCGCACGCTCGGGTGACGCCGGACAGTCCAGCGTCCGGCCCCAAGGCTCCCATCTGCACGCGGGAGCCACGGGGACGCCCGCTAGGCGTCCAGGTCAAAATCGTCGCGCTCCTCGTTGTACTCCAGCACGTGCCGCTTGATCTTGGACGAATCCACCCAGGTGACGAAGTCCTCCATGCTGCGAGTGACCAGGAAGGCGGGGTCGGTGACCACGTCCGGGCCCACGCGCACGTGGCCCTGCTCCACGAACGCCACGGCGGCCTGCAGGTGCTGCGCCATTCGCAGCTTGAGCAGCACGGTGGGCAGCCGGCGGCGACAGAAGGACGAGGCGGTGACGAAGTCGCAGAGCTCCAGCGAGCCGCGCGTGGGCACCAGGCCCAGCGCGTAGAGCTTGTCCAGCAGGGCGGCCGTGGCGCGCACGCGAAACGGGTCGCGCTCGGGCAGGTCGCGCAGGCGCCGCGCCAGCTCGCGCACCGCGCGGCTCAGCTGGTTGTAGCGCGTGTAGTCCTCGCGCCGTTGCAGCCGGTAGCGCCGCAGCACGCGCAGCTCGTGCAGGTTGTGGTCGGTGGCCTCCCAGTTCAGGAAGTCCACCTGCTTCAGCAGCTTCTGCTCGTGGAACTTAAGCTTCCGCACCATGGTGGCGGCCGCCGGGCAGCGGGAGCGGAGGGAGAGCGCGACTTCCGCCTCGGCGCGCGGACGCCCGGCCCCGCTGAAATTCGGACCAATGAAAGCAGGGCGGCAGGCCCCGCCCCTCGCTCTTATTGGCCGCCGCGGGGCCACGCCCCCGCAGCGCTTCTCGCGGTTCTTCCGGGGCCTAGGTGGGAGGCGCGAAAGGACGGCAGGCCCCGCCCCTCGCTCTTATTGGCCGCCGCGGGGCCACGCCCCCGCAGCGCTTCTCGCGGTTCTTCCGCGTCCTAGGTGGGAGGCGCGAAAGATGGACGGCAGGCTCCGCCCCTCGCTCTTATTGGCCGCCGCGGGGCCACGCCCCCGCAGCGCTTCTCGCGGTTCTTCCGGGTCCTAGGTGGGAGGCGCGAAAGGAGGGCGGCAGGCCCCGCCCCTCGCTCTTATTGGCCGCCGTGGGGCCACGCCCCCCGCAGCGCTTCTCGCGGTTCTTCCGGGTCCTGGGTGGGAGGCGCGAAAGAAGGGCGGCAGGCCCCGCCCCTCGCTCTTATTGGCCCCCGCAGCGCTTCTCGCGGTTCTTCCGGGTCCTAGGTGGGAGGCGCGAAAGGAGGACGGCAGGCCCCGCCCCTCGCTCTTATTGGCCGCCGCGGGGCCACGCCCCCGCAGCGCTTCTCGCGGTTCTTCCGGGGCCTAGGTGGGAGGCGCGAAAGGAGGACGGCAGGCCACGCCCCTCGCTCTTATTGGCCGCCGCGGGACCACGCCCCCGCAGCGCTTCTCGCGGTTCTTCCGGGTCCTAGGTGGGAGGCAGAAAGAAGGGCGGCAGGCCCCGCCCCTCGCTCTTATTGGCCGCCGTGGGGCCACGCCCCCCGCAGCGCTTCTCGCGGTTCTTCCGGGTCCTAGGTGGGAGGCAGAAAGAAGGGCGGCAGGCCCCGCCCCTCGCTCTTATTGGCCGCCGTGGGGCCACGCCCCCCGCAGCGCTTCTCGCGGTTCTTCCGGGTCCTAGGTGGGAGGCGCGAAAGCAGGGCGGCAGGCCCCGCCCCTCGCTCTTATTGGCCCCCGCAGCGCTTCTCGCGGTTCTTCCGGGGCCTAGGTGGGAGGCGCGAAAGAAGGGCGGCAGGCCCCGCCTCTCGCTCTTATTGGCCGCCGCGGGGCCACGCCCCCGCAGCGCTCCTCGCGGTTCTTCCGGGTCCTCGGTGGGAGGCGCGGGGAACGCGTCCGCCCGCCCGCAAGGCCGACCCGCGGCTTCCCCGCTGGTTGCGTCACCGCGTCCGCTTCTCGGCGTAGATGCTTTTCGGGGATGCGCGAGACTGTCCGACTCCGGGGAGGGGGCTGCCGGCTCTGCCTGGTTGCTCGGGTTCATTGTCGAGCTCGAGTCTGGCCCCCGGAGGGACCTTCCTGGGGCGTCCGCAGTCTCGCCCACGTGGCCGGCGTCGGCACCTCCACCGGGCCGGGCCCAGCGGCTTCCGCTCCGCGCGCGGGGTCTGGGCGGCACCGAGCCCGGGAGACGCTGATTCCGGGGCCGATTTCTGGGCGCGGGCAGTCGGAGCCCGCGGGGAGCTGGCCTGGAGGTTGCGTGGTTGGCCGGGCGGGCGATTCGTGAAGCCTAAGGCGGCTGGGGCCGAGTGGGCGGGGGGCGCGGGTCCCGCCCGGGCCCGGGGGTCGCGGGATCGGCCCGAACCCCCCCGCCCCGCCGCGCCGAGTGCCCGCGAGTGCCCGCGTGACGGGCCGCGAGGCGCCCCTCTTTGCCCGACGACGCCCTGCGACGCCACCTGGCTTCTCCGCCGGTCGCTCTGCTCTTCGTTGTCTTCTCGAATGTACGATTTGGTGGGTGGAAGACGGACATGTGCCACGTGTGTTTTCTGTAGCGAGCACTTTGGGGAGACCCACCCGCTTAGGAAAACGTCTTCAGGGACGTGGATGTCGGTCGGCGGCAGGTTCGCGAGTGTGGATGTGGGTTTCACCCTCCTGACAGCACCAAAAAGTGAAAAAATGAAGGGGCCAGGGAGATACGTGATGGAGCACATGATTCCAGTTAGGACGACTGCTGTTTAAAAAAAAATAGAAATAAAAAAATAATTGCTAAGACGATTTAAAGTGCTTTAATGATCTGATTCCGGCCCCATATAATTTACCTGCTTTTCTCATTGTTTTTGTTTGGGGGCCTCACTTCTCCCGGTTGGTTCCAGAGATGGAATCTGGCGGCGATGCTCAAGTTACTCCCGACTCTGCACTCAGAAATTACTCCTGACCGTGCTCGGGAACCACATGGGATGCCAGGGATCCAATCCAGGTGGGACCCGTGCAAGGGAAGCACCCCACCCGCTGTACTGTATATCAAGTTGCTTCTAGTGTGTGTGTGTGTGTGTGCGCGCGTGACTCGTGCATGTGAGGAATTTTGTGTTGATGTTTTCTGTTATTTTGCCCGGGGAGGCACATCCTGCCCTACACAGAGGTTACTCCTGACTCTCAGGGATCACTACTGGCAGGCTTGAGGGACCATATGTGGTGCCAGAGATAGAACCCAGGTCTTAACTACATGCAAGGCAAGCACGTTCCAGGCTGCACTCTCCTGCCCTTTTTTAAACTTTTGTTTTAAAATGAAAAATAGTGTTGCAAGAGCGATAGTACAGTGGGAAGGCGCTTGCCTTGTATACCTTGCAAAGGCATTACACGTGCATCCCTGACCACACTGAGAACCTTTTTACTTACACTTTAGCCCATGAACCAGCAGAAAGCTTGTTGGGAATGCAGAATTTCAGGCTTCATTCCTGATTTACAAAATCACAAACCTCAGTGAACAATATTGAGATCAACTGTAAACTCACTGACCTTTGCAAAATGCTGCCTAAGGAACGTCATACCAAATGGATTTTATTTACTGTAGCTCTAGTTCCTCTGTTTTGGTGGTGGTGGTGGTGGTGGTGGTGGTGGTGGTGGTGGTGGTGTGTGTGTGTGTGTGTGTGCTACAAGTGTCCAACTGAAGGTGATACCTTCTGTTTTTTTTACTTTTTTTGGGGGGGGGGTCATACCCAGTGATGTTCAGGGGTTATCCTGGCTCTGCACTCAGGATTTACTCCTGGCGGAGCACAGGTGGGTCATATGGGATGCTGGGGATTGAACCTGGGTTCAATCGGCTGTGTACAGGGCAAACACCCTACCTACTGCTGTCACTCGAAAGTCCATACCTTTAGTTTGTTTATTTGGGGCCACACCTAGCGATGCACAGGGGTTACTCCTGACTCTGAGCTCAGGGATCAACCCTGGTGGGCTCAGGGGACCATATGGAATGCTGGGGATGGACCTCGAGTAGGCTACATGCAATGCCAGCTCCCTACCTGCTGTACCATCCCTCTGTCCCCTGGGCCTTACCTTTCGAAGCAGGTAAGGCTCTACCAGAGTCACACAGCTTTGATTTTTTTGTATTACTGCTATAATACTACATTATTTAACTTATCTAATTTATGAATTCATTTACCTGATTATTTTTTTTTAATGGGAGACACATCAGCATTGCTCAGGGGCTACTCCTGCCTCTGTACTTGGCCAATCTTGTGGCCAAGATTGAGGTCAACCACAGTCTTGTGGTGCTTGGGGTACCTTGTGTGTGGTGAGGTACTTGAACTAGATTTGTAGCCACAGCCTTAAGCAAGGCAAACACCCTTGCCTCTGTACTTTCTCTTCAGCCTCTTCCTGAAGGATTTTTTTTCCTGATGGATTTTTGAGAGACAATTTTTGGCAGTGCTATTATTATTTTTTAATTTTTATTAGAGAAACACCATGAGGTACAGTTGCAGACTTACAAATTTTTGTGCTTGGGTTTCAATTATACAATGATCAAGTACCCATCCCTCCACCAGTGCCCATATCCCACCACCACAGATCCCAGTATCAGCAGTGCTATTATCAACATTCTTTGTTTCTCTCTTTTTTGGTGAGGCGCCAGGGTTGCACTTAGGGCCTCACATGTGCAAAGCAAATGCTTTAATACTGAGCTACATCCCAGCCTCGCTATTAACTTTCATGTCTATTTCCTGTTACACGTTTGCAATTGCTTCTGTATACATCTTGATGTAATGTAAAATTGCTAAGGTCCTCAGAGGGTTGAACATAGGCTGGAGCAATAGTACAGTGGGTAGGGCATTTGCTTTGCATGTGGCCGACCCAGGTTCAATCCCTGGCATCCCATATGGACCCCCGAGCACCGCCAGGAGTTAATTCCTGAGTGCAGTTCCAGGAATAACCCCTAAACATTGCCAGGAGTGACCCAAAAAGGAAAAAAAGGGTTGAATGTCTGCTTTGCATGCGGAAGGCTCAGACCGAATCCCCAGCAGATGGGGTTCCCTACCGGCAGCAGGGACTGAGCCCTGACAAAAGAAAACAAAACAAACATTGCTAAGTCATATAGTACATGCATGCACATGTTCAGACTTACTAGACACTGCTAAGTTTTCCAACAGTACTCTACGTTGTACAGTACATACAACTCTGGTAGTTGCACCAGAATTCCCTTTGCTCCACATTTGGCCCCACCTTTGGTTGGTATTTTTATTAACACTCTGTGGACCAAAACCAGGGCCTCACATAGCTTACGCTGCAGCACTGCATCCCTGGCACTGAGTATTAGTTATTTTTGTCTTTGTAGGGGTCACACCAGGTCAAGGTGGCAGGAAGGGCCCACCCCAGATGAAGTGCTTTCCAAAGCTAGGGTCCAGAGCATTGGGTGTTGTGACCCAGTGTTCTGGAGGGCGGAGGGGAACACTAGGGCTACACCCAGCAACTGCATTGCTGATGGGAGACATACTGGTGCCAGGGAATTCCCTGGACCTGGAACATTCTAGGTATGTGCTCTAGCACTTGAACAGTCTCCCCGTCCTCCTTGGCTATTTATAGAATATTTTTGCTACCTTTGAGCACCACGGGGAATGACCTTTTGATTTATTTGATTTTTTTGCCCACACTGGGCACGGCTCATGGATCATTCCTGTGGGGTCCGGGGGACCATAGACCATATGGGTGCCAGGGATCAAACGTGAGTCAGCTGCATGCCCGGCAAGCTCCCTACCTGCTGTAATATGGCTCC